AAATAAATAGGCAAAATGGACCTAATTATTTCAAATAATCACCCTGTTATGTAGGATAATAACCGTCACATATTCAGAAAGTAGGGTTTATTTGTCCATTTGTTTGTTTATTATTGGACAATTACACCACATAACAATACTGGCATAATNAAATAAATAGGCAAAATGGACCTAATTATTTCAAATAATCACCCTGTTATGTAGGATAATAACCGTCACATATTCAGAAAGTAGGGTTTATTTGTCCATTTGTTTGTTTATCATTGGATAATTACACCACATGACAATACTGGCATAGTGTAATTGTTACACCCAATATTTACTAACATTTTTTCGTCATGACTGTTTTTTAAAGACGGAAACTGCGACGGGTAAGTAAATTTTAGTATAGGAGGAGTTATTCAATGTAACTATTGAGTTATTTGTAAGTTTTAATATTCGGTACAATCCCCTCTGCCAACAGCTTTAATTAATTAGGTCTCTAAATTTGATTCAATTAACATTTTTTTTTAATATTGGACTTTGTAATATTTGGGTTGGGGTATGAGATTTTGAGGGTCCAACCCAAATTTAAGTTGAAGGAGTGAACTTGGTACTTTTAATCAAAACTAAACTTGAATTTTAATTCGAAGTATGCAACACCAGAATCAAACACAGACTGAACTTGAATTTTAACTCGAGTTGAATTCAATTTCAACTCTAATTCAATGATTTAAGAACGTAAAAACACATACACATGGGTCGGGTTCGGAGTTTGGTTGAACTCAGGTGTTTTTAGAAGTATAGTTGAACGTGAGTTTGACTCCTCAGTTTGTCTAATCCATTCGAGTTACCCCCTTAAGTGCAACAACTAATTCCTGGGAGATACCTACGAGGCTAGTTTAACATTGAGAGGATCACATCATTCTCCATAGCTTTGCATCTCCCTGGATCATCACATCGGTGCGAATATAGGCTGATACGTCCCTAACTCGTGTTTCAATGACAGTAAGATAGTCAAGCTATTTGCCCCTGTCTAGTCCGATTGTTTAGCCTTTGGGAGTTGTTCATTTGTAAATATTTGACAAGATAATGAATCACTTGTATGGCGAGAAAATACCTATTTAGTCGGAAATGATTGAAGGATGTTGGCATACTAGCTTTTTGTAGTTTTCTGAATCTGGTCACGGGTTTCACAGAAAGATCTAGAATTATAATTTGTTCCCTCCAACTATGCTTTTTGTTGCAATCAGCTTCCTATGAATTTAAATATTGCGGTTTGCCCTCTCAAAATTTCAAGCAAACTAAATTTACGGTAACAGTGGTTGAAACATGAAAGTATAATTACACCTTTCATCTTGTACGTTATATCTTTATAATTTTTTTTTCTTTTTTTGAGATTTGATTTCTATACCTAAAAATAAGAAAATGGAAAAGCCAAAAAACATATATATTTGTTTTGCTCAAAACCAACACACTGCACAACACCATATTCGCCTTCACCTTTGCCTCCACACTCACCCAACACTAACACAAGCAAGCGTACATATACACACTCTTTGTAGGGGTAATGGTGTCTTTTCAATAAAGTAGAGATCACACGAATTTCTCATATTTAACTTACGTCATTTTCTATGGTTTAAAATTAACTGTTGGAGTTAAATTGCAAAATATTTAAACTTAAAAGGGTTTATTTGTTAAAATTAAAACCTGAAAGGTTAAATGACAAACTACCTAAAGTTGAATGGGGTATTGTGTAATTAACCCAACAAAAAATTCTGGCCGTGCTTGCAAATAAGTTGGTGTAGAATTGAAAATGAGGCAGCTCAAATGTTAATAGAAACGAGTTATAAATTCAGATGCTCTAAATTCGAATGTTGATAACCTTTTAGAGTTGGGCTATGAAACATTTATTTCTCATAAATATCCTAATCTCGGAGTGAATGGTCCGTCTTTGACCTGATCAGGAAGAAAATTAGTCGGAGTACACATAAGTTATCCCAAATACNGAATATAGGCTGATACGTCCCTAACTCGTGTTTCAATGACAGTAAGATAGTCAAGCTATTTGCCCCTGTCTAGTCCGATTGTTTAGCCTTTGGGAGTTGTTCATTTGTAAATATTTGACAAGATAATGAATCACTTGTATGGCGAGAAAATACCTATTTAGTCGGAAATGATTGAAGGATGTTGGCATACTAGCTTTTTGTAGTTTTCTGAATCTGGTCACGGGTTTCACAGAAAGATCTAGAATTATAATTTGTTCCCTCCAACTATGCTTTTTGTTGCAATCAGCTTCCTATGAATTTAAATATTGCGGTTTGCCCTCTCAAAATTTCAAGCAAACTAAATTTACGGTAACAGTGGTTGAAACATGAAAGTATAATTACACCTTTCATCTTGTACGTTATATCTTTATAATTTTTTTTCTTTTTTTGAGATTTGATTTCTATACCTAAAAATAAGAAAATGGAAAAGCCAAAAAAAATATATATTTGTTTTGCTCAAAACCAACACACTGCACAACACCATATTCGCCTTCACCTTTGCCTCCACACTAACACAAGCAAGCGTACATATACACACTCTTTGTATGGGTAATGGTGTCTTTTCAATAAAGTAGAGATCACACGAATTTCTCATATTTAACTTATGTCATTTTCTATGGTTTAAAATTAACTGTTGGAGTTAAATTGCAAAATATTTAAACTTAAAAGGGGTTATTTGTTAAAATTAAAACCTGAAAGGTTAAATGACAAACTACCTAAAGTTGAATGGGGTATTGTGTAATTAACCCAACAAAAAATTCTGGCCGTGCTTGCAAATAAGTTGGTGTAGAATTGAAAATGAGGCAGCTCAAATGTTAATAGAAACGAGTTATAAATTCAGATGCTCTAAATTCGAATGTTGATAACCTTTTAGAGTTGGGCTATGAAACATTTATTTCTCATAAATATCCTAATCTCGGAGTGAATGGTCCGTCTTTGACCTGATCAGGAAGAAAATTAGTNATTTGGGTTTCTTGGAATTCTTTTTGGAAGCTTGAGAGGCTCCATTTGTGCCCCCAGAGCTCATCTTTGATGAATCGTTCGAATGAAGATTTAGATAGAGAAACAACTCTGGTAAAAGAGAGATGAATATGAAGATACGGGGTAATTTTCAGGAATCAAAACAATTGTATCAGAAATTTGAAATTAAATTCTGATTTGCATTTGCATTTGCATTTGCTTTTCTTTCCACATTTTTGGGTTTTTGGCCTAATTTAATTTGTTCAACTAAAGAATCATTGGATTAACGATGAACCCGTAATAGTTGGAAAACGCCATTAATTTTAGGGTTACTTAATTACGTAGACCTCTCGACATTTAAAATATTATGTGTAAACTCCTTAAAATTTGTACAAGTATAACACATATATTCTTATAAATATATTTTCTTAATAAATTACACTTAAATTCTCTAAAGTTTATAAACATATTACTTAGACCTTTTAAGTTTAAAATATTATATTTAAACTAAAAATATTTCAATGAAAGATAAATATCAAAAATTTTAAATTTTACAATTAAAATTTATATTTTATTGTATCATTCANGACTAAAAATATTTCAATGAAAGATAAATATCAAAAATTTTAAATTTTACAATTAAAATTCATATTTTATTGTATCATTTATTGAAATAAAATCACAAATAAAAATTTATTTTTTTATTAAAAAATCGTAATTAATATACAATTATATTGTCTATTGAAATTTAATTTCGTCGTTTAAACGACTAAATTAAAATACCAAACTACTCCAATTAAAAATAAAAGATATTGTGTTCATTACAGTTTAACCCCTTATTTAATTTTTTTTGTTGTATTCTAATAAATAGTATAATAACTATGATTTTTTTTCAAAAAACTTGATTTTTTAATTTTATTTCAATAAATGACATAAATTTTTTTTAATAGATAATATAAATACATACTAACTGTGATTTTTTAAGAAAAAATTAAATTTTATTTTTAATTTTATTTTAATAAATGATACAATATAACATCAATTTTAGTTGTACAATTTAAAATATTTAATATTTTATTTTTGGTTGAATTTTTTTGGTCTAAGTATAATATTTTATACTTAACAAGCCTAAGTAATATATACCAACAAACTTTAAGAGATCTAAATATAATTTATTAATGGATATATTTATAACAAGGTCTAAGTGTTGTGCCCTTACAAACCTCATAGGTCTATGTATAATATTTTAAATATTAGGGGTCTGAATCATTAAATAACAAATGTTTGAAATTNTAGTTTCTGTTTATGAAGCATTTTTAAGCAGTTCTGTTTAATTTGTTTAACTTACATAATGAATGGCTTACTATCCATACAGAATAATTCAAGAATGGCAGCTAGGACTAAATATTGCACCACCCGAATCAAATCATTTGTCATTCCTTTGTCAAACTACTCTGTCGACACCGATTATTTTCCAGGTACATACGTTTGATATTACTCCCAATTTCATTTTTATTCATTTTTCAGACTATAAACTTATTCTCCTTTCTTTCTTTTTTTCATGTATTTGCAGTTTCTTTTTTTGAGGTGAGGATTGCTGGCTGTTGTAAGTTATTTTGATTATCTCTGTTTTTAAGAATGATTAAGTTGAACTAAGCTAAAAGTAACAATCGGATTTAAAAATATTATCCATAGTCGAATTGACTCATACTCAAACATAATTCAATAAAACATAATCGAGCTAAATGCAAGGACGTGAGCCCAACATGGTCGTAATATTCGGGCATTGTATAATGTAAGTAAACAGTGCCCAATTAGTCATACTGTAAAACAAATTAGGGTGGTCTAATAAAGTTAACAATTGGGTGAGCACAGGGAAAATTGTTGTCTTAGTTATGCCTTTTTTTTTTGTGTGGACAGCTTCTAGGCTTACTAGGAAGTTTGAAAGGCATTACATCAGACCTGGTGGCTTCACAGTGCTTGCTTAAATTATACAATGAGGGTCAAATCCAGATGATGAACAGAAGTGAGCCACAGCAACTTAACCAATTTGCAGCTCACTTCATCAGCAATACTGATCAAACCCAATCTTGCAATTTTGTAACTTTTCTCCCTATTGGGGAGAATTCACCTCTCCAGGTATTTGAATAAATGTCGCTAAGACAACATTCTATTTTTCAAACATAATATTCGCGTATAGCCAAATTCGTTCGGTGTTTGCATATATGATTCTTTAGAAGTTGGTAGAATTCATGGTAGGATTGCTATCTGATTGTTATACTTTTGGGCTTAGCGAGCAGAGTGGATCAAGTACTTGGGAGTTTTTGCAAATATGGAAGTCAGAGCAAATCAAGTTTATGATGCAGTAAGTGAAATGCATATGATTTTGGTTACAGTGACATTCAATGCAACAGAAATTATTGATATGGGTCACTCTTTACATATAATATCATTTGAATTTTCTTCTGCAGAAAACATATATATTTTTGTAAAGAACTGCATAAGAAATAGTCTATCTCCAACTCTTTTAAGAAGAAGTCTGCCTTCGACTCTTTTTCTGGCTAGGTTGGTAGGCTCACTTGGCACCTTCAATGGAGCTTACTAGTGTCTAAGTGCCACATGAAAGCTTGAAAAGTGCAAGCCCGTGACAAGTAGAACTAAATGCCGAAGGAACAAAAATCTATTCATTTCTACCACCACCATGAGCCTAATTCAGTTGGCCTCTAAAGGTTCACTGTTCGTCACATTGTGGTATTGAACTCTCCCAATATAAGAAAACAAGGAAAGGAACAAAAAAAAAAATGTAAATACATTCATTTCTGTGAAGTAGTCGGGTATGGAGTTCCAAGAGCTTTGTTCCTTGGTAAATAGTAGAGAAGATTACCTTCCCTGTTTTGACATTAAAGTCCAAGAAATTGTTTTGCAGGTCAAAGAGAATTATATATGTTTGACTAAAGTTGCAGCTAGCAAGAAAACCAAGTTCAAGCCAATAGTAGCTTGGATGGAGTACAATGAGGTATATGCACCAATGCAATTAAAAGATGCAAGCAGTAATCAACTAGTAAATCATGAATTTAAATAAAACCTGCTATATAAATGGGTCCGACTGTATAAATGAGTCTTCTACAGATACATGTAAGTGTGGTCCACTATTGTATAAAATGAGAAAATATACTAGAGGGGAAGGGGACCTATNAATTAAAAGATGCAAGCAGTAATCAACTAGTAAATCATGAATTTAAATAAAACCTGTTATATAAATGGGTCCCACTGTATAAATGAGTCTTCTACAGATACATGTAAGTGTGGTCCACTATTGTATAAAATGAGAAAATATACTAGAGGGGAAGGGGATCTATTCAAGTATTGCAGAATCATGTGAACTCATTCAAATTTGTTTATGTATTCCTCAATTTCTTTTTGCAGGGTGTGTGGTCATTCACACAAGAAACGTACAAACTAAAGGTACTCGGATGAGTACTTACTATCGCTCTAGATCCAACCTCTAGTTGGCTAAGGAAATTTCCATTATCTAACATCACCCCCATTTGTAAACTTGGTTTGCAGTATGTGGAAGATGCAGGTGGTGAGAATATTGACAACACCATCAACAAAGTCACCTACAACATTTCTATTCCTGATGACTTGGATGCATTTCATGCCATTCTATGCGTAAGTTGAACCCTTATGAAGTTTAAATCTTTTCCATAACACTAGTGATTAATTTCCCTAAAACTAATTCAAAACTTTTATTTGCATTTAGACTGTGGATGTAGTGATTGATGAGAGCTATATTTATGATCCAACGAGCTACAATATCTCCACGTTTCTCCAAAATATTTACATTGAGGATCAATCTTGTTTTGCTTTCATAACAAATCAACGCCTGTGGAGATACGATAAAAGAATCCAAAATTATACTGCTCTTGGTAAGATATTGTTCTTGTCATTCTTCGTCGAATTTCTTGTTATTTATTTCAAAGCATGTATCAAACAATTTATTTCTTCCTTTTATTAGAGTTTCTTTAGTTTTCATCACTATGTGGTCCACAAAGTAATCATAGATACAAAATTATGTAAGTTTATGTAGTTTTCTTAACAATTGTTTGTTTCGTTTTGCACTTTGTAAATTCTACAACTAAAGACTGGTACGACGGGGCAATCTCCCAGCCTCAACTGGTTCTAGCAGACCTCATTGAAGCTTTCTTTCCATCAGAAAATTACAAGACAACATATTTCAGAAATATCGCCAAGGTTGGATGCTTCAAGTTACAACGAAAAAACAATATACGTAAATATTCAATCCATAATACTAGTTTATGTCACTTATCATGCAGGAGGAAGGAGTTACAAGTATGAGTCCCGAAATGTGTGATAGGGATAGCTCCATTGCCATGGAGCCTACTCTCATAGCTTGCGAGTGAAGTGTCCATTTTTGTTCTTTACTCGACAACCCTGCTCCTCTTGATTCTCTCTCATTCTGTATGCTTAGACTACAGTTATTGAACTTGTGGCAACTTGTGACATTGTAATTGATGGTAGTGATTCAAACATTTTGTCAAGTACCATGTTGCAGATAGTAGAACGATAGATAATATATGTATATACACAGCTCTAGAACTAGGCTAAATGGGCGCCGCACAACAATGACATTTGATGCTAATGATATTTGATACCAATGATATAACCCTGAACAATTGAAGGTAATAAAATGTAATAAAGTCACTGTGAAAGGTTTCAAAATAATCAGAATTGCTTGAGTTAGTATAAGGAATAAACAGAAGCAACTGAATCAATATTATTCAGAGACAGAAGTGTATTATGGACAACTGATGATCAAATAATTTAAAATAATTCGGTTTTCTCTCTCTTTTTTACAAATTACAATATAAAAGTGTACAANATATTATTCAGAGACAGAAGTGTATTATGGACAACTGATGATCAAATAATTTAAAACAATTCGGTTTTCTCTCTCTTTTTTACAAATTACAATATAAAAGTGTACGAAAACATAAATGTACTAAAACTTGTCTAGCAGCAAATCAATGCAGTGCTAGCAACTCAAAACTGGAACCACCCAATAACAGCAGAACTAAATTCATGCAAATTGAAAATCGTCGAGCATAAAGGATTAACAGCCAAGCCAGATAAAGGCTTTGTGGTGGAGGAAGATTTCAGGGAGAAACTCAGCAGGGCATGATGGTGTGTCAACATACTGGCAATTAGAATGAACATACTGGAGACTCACTAGTTCAAATGCCCATCAGGATTTTGGTTCCACGACAAGAAGGCTGGATCTCCCAAAGGCCTGAATTTGTAACCAGAATCAACTTAAGCTCAGTTTAGGGTTGAACTTACACGGGAATAAAATGCTTAAACAGTTCAATAACAAATAACCATAATATAGACCATTCTTTTATATACTAGACACAACTGGAAGCATATCATTTATATAGTTTTTTTTTTCAATTGATTGTAGATGGAGATATGCTGAATCAAGCAAAGATAAAATAAACATATGTGTTCACCAAGTTGCATGATTGATGGATTCAATTTTCCACAAGAAGAAAAATGACAGATTGGAACAAGCAATTTTTGTCATTTTTGTCATTCTTCAACACGACCAATGATGTCTGACTTTACAAGAACAATAGTGTTTCTTTTGGTTTGATCTATATCTAGAGTAACTCAGTAAAGAAAAATCAAGAGTACATAAACATGATGGCTGATTTTCAATTCAAAGGTAGAACTTGTTGCTATATAACTGTGCCACATATTATTCTAAGTAGTTTGCCTTCCTAGTTGAAAGATAGATTGTGAATGTATGGCATAATGTGGAAAATCATGGCATTTGAGCATCAAAATTCAAAACTAGTACAGTTGCTTGAATATTTTACTCACCTTGGCTTAATGACGTACATAAGTATGAAGCCTATTACAATAAATAAGCAAAATCCGCCAACTGCAATGTATGCTTTGCCTAGGAAATCATTTTTTCCACCAATCCAACTTGTGGTTGAAAGAACCAGATTCTTGTTGCCCCCAAAACTATACGTGTTGTAATTGTTCTGTATTACAACTGTTATCTTCTCATTGGCTTCAAGGTCGTCCTCTATCTTCCCATACAACTTTCTAAATGTTGGTAATGCCGCAGTTCGCATCCAAACAATGAGATCCTCTTGCTCACTTAACTATAGCACAGAGCATGAAGAACCAAAAGATAGATGGGGGGAAACATACGAAAGGGGTAAACAATTATAAAGAAAAATGAGAACATGTACGAGTGTGGAATTAATATGAACAGGTACTCACCGGTTGGCTCTCATTTAGTTTTCCGCCCCCAATCAGAGGTCCTTTCTGAAAATTCTTAGGATATACCTCAGACCCAAATTTATGTTCTTTGTCACTTTTCCAGGCTATGTCTTTTTTATTGACTTGTAGAATTTTGTTGTTCAGTGAAAACCCATACGTGTCATTAAACAAACTCCAAGCAACAAGACCACAAGGAACAATTGGTTCATTTTCATGTGCGCGTTCAGGTTCGCAAGTCTTTGTGTCACGTTCATATTCTTTGCTGCGCAATTGCAAGTCGCTTCTACTTTTGACATATCTGGTAACAAATAATAATAATAGGGGTCAAACGCCAAAATGGCTTTACTTTTGCCGTAATCAGAATTCAGCTTGATTATAAATGATAGAATTTACGTATATACTGCTGCACCGAATCATCTACTGCAAATTTGGATCTATAGTTCAATGTTTTCAGAATTGGATCTATAGTTCAATGTCTAAAACTGCTTTAGTAACAAAAAAGCTATTAAAAACTGGTCAACATAAAGGGTTGATATCCTATGTCACTTAGTTCAATATAGATCTAGTGATTGTAACAACATCAACCATGTTATTCTTTTTTTTGGGTAAGTAATCAAACTAAAATTTCTAGCAACTTAAATATGGTTTTTATGTCCTTTTCAACAGCTTGCACACAGCATACAAGAAATTGGATTGGTAATTCGCAACAATAAGCCAGCAAACAGAAATGGAGAACAAATTCAAGAAATATTTTAAGCCTTTGCACTGTGAAAGGTAAATTATTACGAGTCTGGATAAATTTAGTGGTAGAGTTTGCTAACATTTTAGCGTCTAGTTATCCTCCAATGGAAAATCTAAACTAGTCTTTTTTTGTTAGAAAACAACAATTAGACATACGAAAAAATGCCTTGGTCATTTTGATATATTTCTGTTCTGATTCTATTGTGACAAGTGATTGGAACGCCTAGATATTTCTGTCCTTTATCTTTTTTGTCCTCTACATCAAACAATAAGTATCCTAAAATTGTTACATTGCGAAAAATTAGAATGGAGTTCACATGCATAATCATATGGTGATGTCCTGGCACCATGAAAGTCTAAAGAGAAAGCACNCGTATATACTGCTGCACCGAATCATCTACTGCAAATTTGGATCTATAGTTCAATGTTTTCAGAATTGGATCTATAGTTCAATGTCTAAAACTGCTTTAGTAACAAAAAAGCTATTAAAAACTGGTCAACATAAAGGGTTGATATCCTATGTCACTTAGTTCAATATAGATCTAGTGATTGTAACAACATCAACCATGTTATTCTTTTTTTTGGGTAAGTAATCAAACTAAAATTTCTAGCAACTTAAATATGGTTTTTATGTCCTTTTCAACAGCTTGCACACAGCATACAAGAAATTGGATTGGTAATTCGCAACAATAAGCCAGCAAACAGAAATGGAGAACAAATTCAAGAAATATTTTAAGCCTTTGCACTGTGAAAGGTAAATTATTACGAGTCTGGATAAATTTAGTGGTAGAGTTTGCTAACATTTTAGCGTCTAGTTATCCTCCAATGGAAAATCTAAACTAGTCTTTTTTTGTTAGAAAACAACAATTAGACATACGAAAAAATGCCTTGGTCATTTTGATATATTTCTGTTCTGATTCTATTGTGACAAGTGATTGGAACGCCTAGATATTTCTGTCCTTTATCTTTTTTGTCCTCTACATCAAACAATAAGTATCCTAAAATTGTTACATTGCGAAAAATTAGAATGGAGTTCACATGCATAATCATATGGTGATGTCCTGGCACCATGAAAGCCTAAGCAGACATGAGTCACACTTTTAGCTTCACACAATATTCTTTTCAGGTCAACTTCTATAGAAACCTTTGTGCATTCCTATAGTAGGTAAATATGGTTCAGAATTTAACATAAAAAAGCTATGGAAGCCCTTAAATTCCACATGATAAGGACGGATTGCTGATCAAATTCATGCCTCTTTAGAGAGCATAACAAAAAAAAAACAACAGAATTCTATTTAAATAGCAGTTTGTAAAAGTAAAGTTAAAAAATAAATATTCATCATACCGACGATGATTCTGGTAGAAATTGTCGAGCTGATAATATACATAAATGGGCTGTTTCATTTTCTTTGGAACCTAGAAAACATCCGTGCAAGTAAATGTTGTTACGCTTGGACCGGGAAAGAAGAGAAATATTAAAAGGAAAATACAGAATGTAATTATTGAAACACATCATTTCCAGAAATTGGACTCACAATTAAATTCCTGATACAGGTTTTGTTAGTCTCAGTACTTTGAATATATGTAAGCCTCTCGGATGCAGAATTTGAAGGAATACAATCCTCGTCATAACGGTCTACAATTTCCACCACCTACATGTCAAATAAAGAGATCGTCTGTGTAAAATAATAACGGACGCTAGCTACAAACTTAACCAAGGAAAATAAAGAAGGATTTTAATAGATTACATGCTCCGATGCAAACAAGGATGCAAGGCCAATCGGAATGAAGACTAAGCCAATGGAGAGGAATGCTGTAATGACCTGGAACCAAGGGGGAAAATGGTCTTCTGTTTTAAAAGCAGCATTATACACATAACATGTAGTAAAAAAAGCCTTCTCTATTTTGAAAGCAGATTCAGCTAGAAGATTGACAACCATACCCATCCTGGGGTTAAAATTGGTTTGCAAGCAGGAAGATCTTGCTGTGTAAACCTGGAATCTGGAACATGTAATAGATGTTGGTTTATACACAAAATCGAAAGAAAAAACCAATATCCAAACAAAAATTTATGTAAGTAGAGTACCACACTCCTAAAATTAAAACATTGATACTGCAAAAGCATAAATTGATAAAAATCATACATTATAAAACCAAAAAGTACAATTAGTTCTAATCTTACTCAGAAAATCATGATAGGATATCGTTGGTGGTGAAGCAGGAAAAAAATCTCAACCATCGAGGACAAGAATTCCTTTCTGACATAGGCAGCAAAATATAATCCCTAACTATTCCAATCATTGCTCTGATTAGGTGGTGTCAAAAAATTTATAATTAATTGTGGATGGTTTCACCAATTTTCTTGAACAACTTGTGTAGAGGCACTTGCAGGCAATAAAACCTGATCAGACAAGACAAACCTAATATAACAATGATCCAACATTGTTTTCGAAAAATTCTTGTGAGTACGATTGAAAAAACTTGAATCTTTACACAAAATAACGCCAAACACATGCATGACAAAAATATCAGAATTTTACATGAATTTGATCGAAATGGTGATCAATTGAACAAAATGCAACATAGCATCAATAATGATATATAATAAAATTACTGATCCAGAAACAGATATGTAATAAAATTGACAAAAACTAATACAAAGATTGAGTAGAAGGATATGTACATTTGGGTTTCTTGGAATTCTTTTTGGAAGCTTGAGAGGCTCCATTTGTGCCCCCAGAGCTCATCTTTGATGAATCGTTCGAATGAAGATTTAGATAGAGAAACAACTCTGGTAAAAGAGAGATGAATATGAAGATACGGGGTAATTTTCAGGAATCAAAACAATTGTATCAGAAATTTGAAATTAAATTCTGATTTGCATTTGCATTTGATTTGTTCAACTACAGAATCATTGGATTAACGATGAACCCGTAATAGTTGGAAAACGCTATTAATTTTAGGGTTACTTAATTACGTAGACCTCCCGACATTTAAAATATTATGTGTAAACTCCTTAAAATTTGTACAAGTGTAACACTTATATTCCTATAAATATATTTTTTTAATAAATTACACCTAAATTATCTCAAGTTTATAAACATATTACTTAGACCTTTTAAGTTTAAAATATTATATTTAGACTAAAAATATTTCAATGAAAGATAAATATCAAAAATTTTAAATTTTACAATTAAAATTCATATTTTATTGTATCATTTATTGAAATAAAATCACAAATAAAAATTTATTTTTTTATTAAAAAATCGTAATTAATATACAATTATATTGTCTATTGAAATTTAATTTGGTCGTTTAAACGACTAAATTAAAATACCAAACTACTCCAATTAAAAATAAAAGATATTGTGTTCATTACAGTTTAACCCCTTATTTAATTTTTTTTGTTGTATTCTAATAAATAGTATAATAACTATGATTTTTTTTCAAAAAACTTGATTTTTTAATTTTATTTCAATAAATAACATAAATTTTTTTTAATAGATAGTATAAATACATACTAACTGTGATTTTTTAAGAAAAAATTAAATTTTATTTTTAATTTTATTTTAATAAATGATACAATATAACATCAATTTTAGTTGTACAATTTAAAATATTTAATATTTTATTTTTGGTTAAATTTTTTTGGTCTAAATATAATATTTTAAACTTAACAGGCCTAAGTAATATATACCAACAAACTTTAAGAGATCTAAATATAATTTATTAATGGATATATTTATAACAAGGTCTAAGTGTTGTGCACTTACAAACCTCATAGGTTTATGTATAATATTTTAAATATCAGGGGTCTGAATCATTAAATAACAAATGTTTGAAATTCCTTAAATTTTTTATCCATTTTAACGATTCGTGTTTATCACACGCCTACGATACAATTTAGTATAAGAAATGCATGCCAAAATGACCAAAACACCCTCAACACCTCATCTTCCTCTTCCCTTTGGGATTGTTTGGTATGTGGGTTTGGAGGGATTTGGGAACATGAGTTGGGAAGTAAATCCCTGTAAACCCATATTTGGCAAACATGAAGTATGAATAGGATTTCAAACCCGGCCCGGTCATAANACATGAGTTGGGAAGTAAATGCCTGTAAACCCATATTTGGCAAACATGAAGTATGAATAGGATTTCAAACCCGGCCCAGTCATGAAACCCAAGGGGGGTGGGTTTCATTTGTGGGTTTGGGAGTTTAATATGTAAATGACATTTATACTCCTATATATTTTATATACCTTATCTATACAAATTGGTTAAAAGGCACAATAGTCATTTATATACAAATATATTATCATAATAGTCATATATCCTTGCACACGCTAAACATGGGTATGGATAGCATTAAATGGTGAATCTCATCTTTGAGTCAAACTCAAGTTTAGACAATCCAATCTAAACCCCTTCCAAAAAACATATACAACAGGCCCTTTGTGTTCAGCGTTCCCTTCCCCCCCTTCTCTCTCTTTTGTCCTCGTTCCCGTCAACATCCATAACCACCACCAACCTCTATTGTAATCCAAATCCTCTCTCTCTCTCTCACACACACACACAGATCTCCCTTCTCCATCAACTGCTTCTTCCACCACCATCCACCTCCTCCTTTTGATAACCTCAATAAAGCCTAAATAGAACAATCCATTCTTTAAACGTCAAATATAAAATCTTATGAATATTCAATGCATCAACATCTCACAATCGAGATTACTTCTACCCCCACTTTTGGACCAGCTGACCCATAAAATTATTTTATATGCTATATTTGTCCCTTAAATTTTTAAAAATTTCAAAATTTGGTTCTAATTTTTTCTTTTTCCAATAAATTAGTGGTCTACTAATTCTCTTAAATAAACATGTTAGTTTTGGATTAAGTCATCAGATGTAACTATCATGATATATTTGTATATTGACTAAAATGTAATTTTTTTTTTATTTAACACAATGTTCGTTACTTTTTAAAAATAATTTTTAGTTTTCATTTATCATTTTTTTTAGTAATAATAGTTTATAACTTAATAAAATACGATTGTGTACAAAAGACAAAAAGTTGTAACCCCAAAAATATTCCAAGTTATTTTGAATAGGGAATTTCTCTATAAGAACGATAATAATCTCAACTAAATTTTGCAACTAAAAAAATTTAATTTTATTATGGACTTGTGATTGTGCGCATTTATAGAAAATGAGTGAAAATAAAATTTACATTTAATTCATATACAAAATTTTAGAGATTTTTTAAAAAAATTATATTTTATTGAAATATATAATTAGGTTAAAATGTACTAAACAAAATTATTTTGTATCTTTTTATTAAGATTTTGTTTCGACTGAATAAAAATTGAATTTATTATTTCACAATAATTTTGTCTTGATTATTACTTTTTTGTCATTCTTTAACTGGATTTTTTATATCAATTTGGGTTAAATATTTTTTTTTATATCAGTTATATTTACCTCATCTCATAGATATTTCTAACTATGCCCCTGACTGAGGAAATGTCGCATGACATAATTTGAAAAAGAGTGGGAGATGATCAGTTACTACTATATTTGAAAAGAAAAAATAACTAATTGGAAGTTATCAAGTCAGATAACCATCAATAGAGACATAACCATTGAGAACAATGGCTATAAAAGGCATGTAGTGCAAAAGATAAGGGGTAAATTCAAATCTCTATAAAACCCACGATCTAAGCATTTTTAAGAATAATTTTAAGTTAGTTTTTAAGAGGCAATTATTACTGCATTCAAAGTGGTTAATCAATCTTTTATGTAATCAAAATCTCTTCAATTGAATTAATAAAGGAATCTTTTTTTATTAATTTCTTACACTGTATATTTGTCTATTAAATGTATCTAAAGAAATCTTAAAATAAGGCATTTAAATACCACACAAATAATCGCTTAAAAATTATCTGTTAGATTGGAATCTTCCTCTCGATAACAACAGATTTTTTTGGATCAACACACACAAACACTTTTTTGTCTCCTTATCTACAACACACACTCTCTCTTTCCCTCAGCAGCTCCATAACGCAATGAGATGGGTAGACAGGGTAGTAGAGCAAACGGTGTTGTCGGCAACCGTGCGGATCTTTCTTTCACCATCGACACACACACAAATCTTTGTTTCAATGATCAACCACCACCACTACCACTACCAACACACACATATAGATCTTTGTTTCAATTTTAATTTCCTTTCTTTTTTTTATTCTAAATTTTTTATTTTCATGTCGATTTCCAATTTAATTATAATTTCAGTTTGATTTTTAATTCAAGTTTTGATTTTGAGTGGAATTGAGGTGTTGGCTACCGTTAGGGGTGTTCATAGACTAGGTTACCCACGAGTCCCGTTACCCAGCCCAAAAAAAAAAGTCCAAAACCCGATAGTTGGCCCATCTAAGCCCGATCTTTAAGAAAGGGCTCAGGTTTACCCTTAAATCCACTACCCGGCCCAAAGCCCGGCCCAATAACCCTCCCACATATCCCCCCGGCCCGAAGCCCAGCCTAATAACCCGCACACAAAAACCCATTTGCTTAGCCCGAACAAAATTTTTCAGAATTTGAGAGGTTTCTATCAAGCTTTGAAAAGTATGTGAGAATTTGAGAGTTGAAAGGTATGAGAAAAATTTTTTAAATTTTTTCAAACTTTACCAAAATTTTTCAAATCCATGAGCACCACATGTGGTCTATGACTTCTATGACTGTCTTGATTTTTCGTATGAGACTTTTGTGACTATCTTGCCTTTCTATCTGAGCCAACTGCAGTAGGCTGAGTAGCTGTCTTTGCAGGCTTATAGCACATGGGTTAAAAAAATTTCTTTCTCCAATTATACAACTAACAGTCATAAATAAACGGCAACTTTTTAATATATAATTTATAAATAAAGCCGATTGCATTTCATTTCAACCCACCACTTTTGCAATAAAAAAAAAATTTCATTTACTCTTAACTTTCATTTGCCCTCAACTCTCAACGTTCAAGTGTTCTGAAGTCTCAAGATCGAGCTTTCAGTTGTCTCAAAGACTCGCGATTGTCAAGTGATCTCATTTGGTGAGAAAACTTTTTTTACATAATTTAAGTATTCATTTTATTTTTATAGTTTACTTTACATAAGGACTTCATCTCATTCACAAAATATTTTTATAACGAATTTTTTGAGTCAAATAATGATAATGAGAACATCGATGAAGGTGAAAGGAACGATTCATTTTCAACGCCTGATATGGATTCTACTGAGAATGTACCATCTAATAAAAAACAAGTTCAAGACATGGGATCATTTTGAGAAAATCAAAATTAAGAATTCTAATGAAGTCATTACATCAGAAAATGTCTTATGTAATTATTGTAAAAAAAAAATTGTTGGAGGCCCTAAAAATGGAACTAGTCACTTAACTAGACACCTAAAAACATGTTTATTAAAAGATCAAACTGATATTAAACAAAACAATGTTATCATAATTTGCAAGCATCGGTATACTAAGCACTTTTAGTTATGAATCTGAATTTGCTAGAAAAGGAATTGTTAGATGGATTGTTATAAAAAATCTTTCATTTGTTCTTGTAAACGATACTAAATTTGAAAGAATGTTATAAAGTGGTTTTAATCTTTCTTTTCAAAAGTTTTCTCGTTAAGCATGTCAAAGAGATGTTATTAAATATTATGTACAAGAAAAAAATAATTTAATTACTTTTTTTGATAATCTTAAAAGTAAAATTTGTTTCACTTCTAATAGTTAGACTTCTGGCCAACAATTAGGATATTTGTATATAACTATTCATTTTATTGATGTTAATTGGGTTATGCAAAAAAGAATTATTACTTTTACAATGCTTAAAGATAATCATAGTGCACAAGTTATTTTTAAAGCTATTTATAATCAGTTATAAATTTATCGTATTTAAAATAAGATTTTTACTATTACTTTAGATAATGCAACAAATAATAGTGGGGTTGTAAGTCATTTAAAATATTATTTAATTTTATCATGTGAATGTACTTTTGTCCATATGAGATGTATGTGTCATATCATAAATTTCATAGTACAAAGTGGTCTCCATGATATTAAATTTGTAATTGATAAAATTAAACATATGGTTTATCATATAATAGGTTCTAAAAATAGACTTAAGACATTTGAAACTATGTGCAAAAAGAATAATTTAAAATGTAAAAAAATACCATATGATATACAACATAGGTGGAACTCCACTTATAAAATGCTAGATGTGACAGTTAAATATAAAGCTGTTTTAAATGACTATTTTAGTATAGATACCACTGGTTCATTATCGCGTTCCATCGAAGAGAAATGAGAAGTCACTGATAAAATGAAAGAGTTTTTGAAATTTTTTTATGAGGCAACTATGACTTTATATAATAATTATTATCCTGCTATTACACTTGTCTATCTTCATATAGTTAGTATCAGTGATCTTTTTGAACAATATAGCACTGAACCCGAATTTTTTACTATTTTACATAATATACAATCTAAATTTAATAAATAATTTTCACCACTTCCTATACTAATTGGTTTTGGTATGTTAATTGACCATCGATTTAAAGAATTTAGTCTTACAAGTGTTTTTATGTTTCTATATGGTAATTTAAATAATTAGCACATAAACCACATGAATAAAATAAAATATTATTTTAAAAAACCTTTTAATGAATATAGTGTAACATTTGGGAATTGTGGTACACTTAATCGCCCCTCAGCTTCAGGTGATATTGTTGATAGTACTAGTAAAGGTAAAGGTAAAACATATATGCTAGCTTCAATTTTGACCATAGGAGGAATGTCAACATTTAGGGGGTTAGCTGAACTTCAGCAATATTATAATGCTCTATTGGTAGGTGTTGAAGATCCTAATTTTGATATTTTTGCCTGATGGAAAGATATAAAAGTAGGCTTCCAATTCTTTCCACCGTGGCTCATGACATACTAATAGTTCCTATGTCAACTGTAACATCCGAATTTATTTTTAGTACAGGTGAACGTGTCATTGATAAGCATAAGAGTTGTTTAGATGGAAAGACAGTGGAAACCCTCATGTGTTTTCAAGATTGGTATGTCGCTTAAACGAGAGATCAAATTATAAAAATAAATCCCCCAATGCCAGAATTTGAAATTTTAGAAATTTAGATATTATAAATAATGTATTTTTTTTCATGTATTAAATATATAAGTTTTTCATGTATAAAAGCCTTTAATGGTTAGAATTGTGCAAATGATAGATAGGTGGGTAAGTGTCAACCTAGTTGAGGTGTACTTATTCTATTGTGATACCAATTTTCTTTTATTCATAAATAAAATTATTCATTATTTAATTTTTGTCCATTTTGATTTTGACTATACTTTTAATTCAAAAATATATTTTACAAAAAAAATAAATGAAGTTGTTTATTTTTTCAATAGGGCCCTACAAGCCCCACCCAACAAGCCCAAAACAGGCCCGCCCAACAAAACCCGCCCAACAAAGTCCGTCTAAACAAGCCCGAAAAGCCCACCCGCAAAGCCCGCCCAATAGGTGACGGGTTGTGTCTGACAAATCGTGGCATATCGAGTTCGTGTTATGTATGAATTATGTATAACTAATATATAAATAAGTCATGTCATATATTTCTTTTGATTGACTTCACTTATACCTGAATCGTTTATTAATCGTGTGGTGTCATTTTCACTTATTTTTTAAGTGGGTGGTTTAAGGAAGATTAAAATCCTCTAATATTGTGTTGTGTTTTTGTCCTGCCGTATTTTTACAACCTTAATCCAATCCTCACAATTTCTAATTTTATTTTATTTCTCCATAATAAATCATTCATTCGCTATCAGCCATATTTTTTTTACCACCAGAGCTGATGGTCTAGTTGTAAGCTATATCTGGTTACAGTCGTCCTTGACACTTATGTGGTTATGAAACAAAGTTCGATTTATGAGAGTAATGCAGTTTGCTGCTTGACTTTAGCGGTACTGTGGTGATGAATTGTTCTTCCGTTTTAGTAGTTATGACTCAAATTAAACATTCTACAATGGGAGACCCTTATGATTACGCACAGGGGTTATTACTTACTAATCGTCCCTCTCCCTTTTATAATAGCAAAAAAAAAAAAAAATTTGTCCATTTTTATTGTTATTATTTTAGTTAATTATAGGAAAAATTATCTATAAGTATTACTTTTTCCCACAAAAGTCCATCTAGTCCTATCCCTTTTTTGTTTTAAATCAATGAAGTACTATTCTTGATATTTTATTTCAATTAAGTCCTAAATTTCATTATATTCCAATTTTATCCTTACCCTTTAATTATCAAAACTTACTATTTCATTTTTTGCATTGTTAGAACCAATTAAGAACAAAAATTTCTTGCTTATAAAATTAACATTGAAACCCGATAAATAAATAAAAAAAAAAAACTCAGCTAACATAAATTTCATGTCAGGACCCAAAGAAAGTCCACATTTTCTTATTTTTTTTATCTCATTGGGATATCCAATTTTAAAACCTATGATAATATTTGTCGATTATTTAATAAAATAAGGTAAGAAATGTTAAAAAAAAATTACATCGATAATGTTTGCCGATTAATTCCACTTTAATTTCGTTATCGATTCAAATATAACAACTAAAATAAATCCCTAAAGTAANGATAATGTTTGCCGATTAATTCCACTTTAATTTCGTTATCGATTCAAATATAACAACTAAAATAAATCCCTAAAGTAATCATTTTAAATCCAATATAAATTAATAGAATCATTTAAAACTACAAAGATGATGTATCAATTTAATCTATAATATAATAATAGTACCTTAATCGATGTAAAAAATTAATTTGTTGTGAGGAAGAAAGCACATCACATAGCAATTGAAAAGTCCCAAAGGTGTGCTATCAAAATTCACATGCCAAAGAATGCAAAGTCATATAGCAATTAAAATGTCTCAAGAGTGTGCCGCCAAATTGACATAAGAATGCAAAAGAATGAAAGTGTTGTGGTAATTAAAGGATAAGGATAAAATTGGAATATATTAGAATTTAGGACTTAATTGATATAAAATATCAAGAATAAGACTTCATTGATATAAAACAAAAATGATAGGACTTAATGAATTTTTGTGAAAAAAAATAATGCTTTTGGTTGATTTAGTACTATCCTAAATTTAAGGGAGTGTTTCTTACAATTTGAAACGTAAATTATATCCCTCCGCCAACCGGCCACCCCATCAAAATCAATGCTCCCAACTCCTCTATCATATGTCACAATAGTATTTACATGTGTGTACTCAATGAGACTTCCTCTAAAATTCTTTCAATCTGGTGGTGATTGGGCCGGGTTTTGATTGTTTAGTGGTGTATTGTGGAATGGTTTTATGATTGTAGTTATGGTTGTGTGATGGTAATAGTATAGCAGTGTCATTTTTATGGTCATGGTCATGGTCGTGGTTGTGGTTGTGGTTGTGATTATGGTCGCAATATAGTAGCGGTGATAAATGTGTATACATGTACATTTTAACTCAAACCCAACCCCTTTGTTCTTTTGGGAAAAGGTGGGGGTAACCGGTGCTATNTGTGGTTGTGGTTGTGATTATGGTTGCAATATAGTAGCGGTGATAAATGTGTATACATGTACATTTTAACTCAAACCCAACCNCGTGGTTGTGGTTGTGGTTGTGATTATGGTCGCAATATAGTAGCGGTGATAAATGTGTATACATGTACATTTTAACTCAAACCCAACCCCTTTGTTCTTTTGGGAAAAGGTGGGGGTAACCGGTGCTATGGGCTAAGGATTGATAGCATGTTTGGATGGAATTTGGGTGAAGGATTGGACTAATTCTCCAAGGATCCCGGGATCGAGAGACCAGGTCCCTCCTCTTGCCTAACACCCCCTAGGTTTGATGAAGTCCTCATACCTGAGTCTGAGGGAGTTAAGTTTGTTTAAATCCCGGGTCAGAGAAAGGCATCCAAACATGAGCTATGATAATGAATTGGACTATTTTTTTAAACCCCCTCTATAAACCCGCCCAAACCCTTGTAACAAACAGGCCCTGATTGTATGGGCAATGGCATGGGTCAGTGGAGAGACAGACGTGGTGGTAATTTCGGAAAAAGGGGAGGGGCAGAGATAAGTAGGGGTTCCTGCAGAGTTGTGGGTGGGGCTGCCATGAAGGGGTTTTATCAGGATCCAATCCCATGTGATACTTTTTTCCTTCTTAACATACCACCCAGATTAGTATATGTTAGAGTCGTGTCAAAATTTATTCAACTCATATCCAACCAATCTAAAACCATTCAGAATTGAATTCGTATTATTTAGAAGATGAGTTTATCATGTCATTTTGTAAACATTAGGGATCGTTTTGTGCTGTCAATAAAACTTGGATAGCCCGAGTGTAATTTTCTGATGAAACATTATGAACATTGCATGAATATTCTTCTAGTACAGTAAGTAAAGGAAACATGTAACCTTGTTTATAAACTTTAAAAATTCAAACACTGTTGATCTGAATCACATCAACAGCAATTCCTTATTTGTTATTTTAGGATACAAAGCCTTGCTTTAAGCTTGTCACACAACCATACTTCGAAAATATAAACTGATGGCACATACATAAGGTGGTACAAGATGCACTTTGAGCCCAGTGACTTCTGTAAATTGGGTATTCTTTTTCAAGCTCTAAACAAGCTGCAAGTTAAAATGATTTCAGTAAGGTGTTAGCTAACCAAAAGCAGGACCAAAATCATCAATTATTGGAACTACATCCTCACCTTTGTAACCGAAACGATGTGCGCCTGATGACACAAAACACAAGCACATTTAGATTTAGTTTTACTATAATCTAAAACAGCAAAACCGAGACTCTGTGAACCTGATGGACAGGAAAAAAAAATACACTTTTATGATTCATACACACTATGATGATAATCTGGAAGGAGCGACATAGCAGCCAACTAGACTATGCCCCAGTGGGTTTCAATGGATATCAATGTTGTAGGGAGGAAAGCTATTCAATAAACTCACATCGAGTCTACGGGGCTGGTAGTTTGGACTTTTTTTTAAAATTTTCAAAATGGGATTTTCGAATAACTTATTTTTCTTTCAATTCAATCAATTAGTATCCTTTGAAAACTAGTTGAAAACCTTGATGTTATTGCCTAATGCAGTCACATCTGTTGTTCAAAGAAATTTTCATATGTCATGTTTGTCTAATAAAATCGGACCACTGTGGAAGGAACCAAAGAATATCAAAGAATAAAACAGAAGCATGTCTGTCNATGTCATGTTTGTCTAATAAAATGGGACCACTGTGGAAGGAACCAAAGAATATCAAAGAATAAAACAGAAGCATGTCTGTCAAATATAGGAGTTCCTAAGCCATTGTTGTGAGAAAAGCTGACTTGGAAGAAGTTAGGTCACTTGCTTTTTTGAGAGCTGTGGTTTGATTTTGTCCTTGGGCCCTTCTTGAGCTTCTTCACTTGGAGTGGGCACATTTTTCACCTGTGACATTGGCATACATGAAGTAATCAGCAATCTCTTATCATTTATCCCTAATATAAGCTTTTTATATCGAATCCGAAATAGATATACCAAGTTTCTGAATTGGAGGTTATAGAACAGCTGAATATATCTTTGTTTTGCCTGCTTCTGGTCCTTGTTCAACTGCCTCCAGAACCTATAGATGCACCCCATATTCAACACCTTGTTCGCGTAGATCTTCCACGTGTAGCTGCAAAAAAAGACAGAAAATAGACAATTTCATTGTACAATTCAGAGAATCAATGAGCAGTAGAGCTCAAAAATAAAAAATTTTCATCTTTTATGGTTTGATCAATTGACATAATTAAATTAGTTTAGAAAGCAACTTTATGTTTAGTTACCTTTCATTTATACGCTTTAAGCCAGCTGCTGAAATCTTGTTCCAGTATTCAGCATCCTCCCTGCACTTCTGGAAGAAGTCAGCAATCTTATTGCCTGACTCGTCTCCATTGTTAGGATCAATATGAAAACCCGAAACCCCATCAACAATTATTTCAGCTGGACCTCCTTGGTTGGTCGCGAATGTTGGCAATCCACAGTTCATTGCCTCGATGACTGTAAGGCCAAAAGCTTCATATAGAGCAGGCTGCACAAACGCTCCCTTTGTATCAGCAATAGTACGGTAAAGCTCACTGTTCCTGTGCCTATCAGTCTGTGCTGCTATCCATCTGATCTGACCCTTAAGCTGATATTTTTCTATCAACATGTGCATCTTCTTTATTTCAGCTATTTCTTCTCTGTCTTTTGATTTTGAATGATCAAAGAAACCTGCAACAATGACTAGATTGACCAAATTTCTCAGCCGTTTGTTCATTCCAAACCACTCGGTTAATCCAGTGATGTTCTTCACTACATCAAGTCTTGCCATGGAGAAAATGATCGGTTTCTTTCTGTCTTCTAGATATCCACTGTTTTTGAAACAATTCACATTATGATTGTTTGATGCTTTAAACAAATATAGTATTTGGCAATTTACTGTATACATAATTTTTGAAATTGTCATACTTACATGTGCTCAGCATTATCAACTTTACTAAAGAGCAGTTCTTCAATGGATGCACGAAACGATGTTAGTCTCTTCTGCAGCTCTGTGTGAGGGAAATAGACGGATTGGTCTGCCCCAGGAGAAGCAATATTGAATTTTGGATCAAAGACATTGATGCCTGAAACAACTCTACAAAGCCCCGGAAGTGTAAATGCAGTGTGGCTTTCATACTGCCCGGGCCTATCTTTGCTGCAGACATGAAACATTTGAAGTTTTTAAGATGACAATATTTAGTTGCAAGCTTCATTTATAAGTGTCGTCTTGTGGATTTTCTAACCTTCCAGCAATTTCTTGGTATGTGCTTGTGATGATGAAATCTGCTTGATTCATAGCAATTGTATCGGCTGTGAATTGACATGAGAAGTGATACTTGGGTTCGAATTCCTTCCACTTGAAGTCTGAATCCTCATACTTTGTCTTCTCTAGAGCATGTGCAATAGTTCCCTATTTCATAACATTTTAAGTCAGCATATAGAATGTAAAAGAGAAAATTTGTATCCACAAACAATTTATAACCGAGGAACAAAGATACCAGGGTTATCCCAAGTTTGGTTGCCATTAGAGATGCCACCAAATTCCCATCAGTATAGTTTCCTAGGATAAGATCTGGTTTTGCTTCCATGACCTCAAGGATTTTGTCCGTCGCATCCTTTTGATTAAGGTCAAAAAGGTTAAAAATTGAGCGAAACAACAGCTATTAGGCAATGATTATTTAGTGTAAAATTCAGAGTGCAAAAACTTAGTGGTATATGTAGTACATGCCTGAGTAAACCTCTCAAGATGGGGATAAATGTCAAAACGAGAAACCCATTGGCGGAGAACTCCATTTTCTGTCCTAAATGGCACCCGGAGGATGTGGGAGTGCTTTGTACCGATTACTGGTTCTAACTCCTGGTTGCACTTTGTCCCCTTTGAATCAGGGATGAGTCGGGTGACCTGCATTATCAACAACAATATCAATTAGTTATCATTTCAGCCGGACTGGCCATTATTTGGAGAAACATTTCCTTTCAGGTATGAAACTCACCACTAGAATTTGAGGCTTCCCATTAAGACCTTGCTGCTTAATTCTGAGGAGCAATTCCTCTTCAAATGCTCTCACTTGATCCAAAACATAAACTACCTGTTAAGTGACATCAGAAGAAAGTTTAGTGTCCATTTAAGAGAGAAAATTCTGCAAAATCTACCTCTTCAACAATTTGGTTGTCGGATTGAAGAAAATTTACCTGTCCACCAGTGTCAGGCAAACCAAGGACATCCTCTTGACCAAAGTATCCATGGACAGAAAACAATACGACATTGAATATCGTTGGGACCCTACCAAAGAACTTCTCCATGTTTAAAGGGTCAGGTGCCTGGAGTACTTCTGAAAGCGTTCTCATTGTCTCCTTAACTCTTTCAACAGTATCACCCCATCCCTTCTCGAATCCCCACTCTTTGAATCTGCAGAGAATACGATATCAGAATTCAATTTCTAAGGCATGTTTAGGCATGTATAGAGGAAAAAGAACACTCACCTCAGCTCAAAGTTCTGGTAAAGCAAATCTTTGGGTTGTGTAGAGAGGGAGGCTTCTGCTACTATCAGTGCTCCTTGAAGCTTTGAAGGCGTGTTGAGGGTCTCATTGATCATAAGTTTCTGCAAATAAAACCAGAAAAGCGATTAAAACAATTTTCTTTTTTACTTTCTGTGATTGAGTGTGTTCACATCCGATTTTCTTGTTTCTACAGAAATTGTATTCCTGTACCTCTCCTTGGTGATTCAATGAGAGTAAGTAGTCGATGAGAGGCTGTGCACTCCATTGGCCATCATTCGTCTTGGAAGTAAGGAACTTAGAGATGAAACTGACTCCATTTCCAATTGAAGAAGATAGAGTCAAGTGAGGCATTGAGAAGTCCAATGCTCCAAAATCAGCTTCCAGTGCATTTTGATCATTTGCCCTGCAATGCAAAACCTATTTATAGCAATCGGGAGATATAGATAGAGGTGTAAAGCCAAGTAAATAAAGACTTGAAAGACTTCATTATTTAAGAGTCAATGACATACCAATTCTCATCGATGATCATTTCTTTGAATTTCAAGTACTCATTCGCAGTAATACCCTCAACCGATAGATCATTAGCGCTCACTTTAACAAATTCCCAGAATCCAGGATTTGGTCTGACGGCAAAAGCTACATATGGAGGAACAACCGCAGCCTCCTGTAATATTAATCATTTGATTATTGTTAAAGGATGGTGGAGTGCATGGGACTCTCGCCATTGCAGAATTTAAAGAGGATCAGATGTGTGCAGTGTTATTCTGCACGCGGAGAAGTTATTTTTCGCATGAAGGAGAGTGAAGCAGAAATGGGAAGAAGAAGAAAGAGAAGAAGGGATGAATTTTCACCTGAGTGGTGCACAAGATGTAGCCAAGTAAGCCCTCCAAGACCTGAGCCCTTTCAGTTTTGTCAGCCATCACTGTATCCATTTCATCCATTAGGTGGTTAACTTTCATCAAACGCCTTCCCTTTTCAACAAACATAGCAAAGCACCTCTTCATGTGGTACCGGCTCTGCCTTAGAGCCTCCGGCATAGTATCTGCTATCGACTCAGACCGCCTCAAGGCTGGTGTCGAATCCATTTTGATGATCACTTGCTTTGAAAGATAGAGGTATGAATGTTTATAGAAGAGATTTGTTTGGTGTGTCAAGCTAGAAGTTACAGGCTTTTTATAGACCAATGGTGTCAACTTTTGTCTATTCAAATACTAAGTAGTTTATTGAAAGCTTCAGTTAGGAATGGCCTTAGAAAAAGGGAAAAAGAGGGTGTGAGAGGAGGAGAAAGAGCATTCTTTCAAGTCAGGCGGTACCAAAAGAAAGGAATTTTGTGATTGAGAGGAGATTCCTGGTGAGAAGCAAAGGTAACCTTTCTCTGGCATACATAGGCTAGGGGTTATGGGATCATTCTTTCCTTATTCCACTTCATATTCCTTGAGGATTTACACATCAAGGAAGGACCCCACAGGTAAAATGTTGGAGGAAAAAGGATCAACAACAAATCTTTTCTTATTTGCAGAGTTTTTTTCTAATGAGTTGAATGGCGACCGAGGCATAGCACTTGCTAGGGACTGCTTGGATATGGCTGGTGGCAGCAGATTTTGCTTAAGTTATTCTTTTTAAAAAAAAAAAAATTGGTAACAGATAATAGTTCTAATCTAATGTCATTTAGACCTATAGGCATATATATCTGTAACGTAAACCCCGACATAAAGACATTAGACCAATTTTTTTAGTCCCACAAGAATGAATTCTGGTTTTTGGACCATTTAATATTCTTCGCAAATGAGTGATCGATTTCGGAGAAGATGATACTCGTTTTTGGTTTCATATTCATTGATTATACATGCAATTTAATAAAATATTGGATCAACAATGGGTCTTTGGTCTAATGATATTCTTTGTCTTATAAAGATTTTGTCTTCTTAAAATCAAGGGTTCAAATCCCCTTCCCCCTCCCCCTTCTCCCCCAAAAAAAAATATATAAAATAAAATAAATATTGGACCAAACCCAAAACAACCTGCTCAAAATAAATGTCAATAAATGATCGAAATACATANACCATAATAGCCTGTACCCAAGAGAAAAGTCCACTAGTGAGGCTTAGACAATGGGAAATTGCTAGTGCTATCGAAGGTCGACTCGAGCTATAGCTTAACCTCCGCACCACAGAGTTGCCAATGAGACAACGGGAGTTCCCGAAAATGGAACGCTACTTGTTAACCTCATGGGAGTGAGAGAGAACCCTAAATAGGGCATTGCAAGCCATTGAATCACCTATCCGCTAATAGAGGCAGAGCCAATATTTCCTCTTGAGGGGGACCAAATAGTGGTATAATAAGATATTTTTATTCAATGTGAATCATTCAATTAGATCGTTAATGTTTTGATATTTACATGCATAAAATATATAAGAATCAATCTCACACAATGTAATATAATTATTATTTTCAATAAAATGAATATAGTTAACCGAAACTAATTGAATTATTAGATATAAAAGTCAAATAAATTGTACCATTAATAATTCAAAATAGTCTAAAATATACAAATTTTTACAATATCAAAATTTAACAATTTATGCAAATTGTCACAATTTTAATAGTTAATGGTTCAACGTGGTCTAATCAATAGTTAAGAGGATAAAATAAAATCAGGACTATAATTTAATGTATAAATTATAATTTCAAGAATTTGAATGGTGTATAAAACGTGATCAAAACATAATTTTAAATGAATAATATACAATTTTAAAAAATTGAGCAGGGTCATAACCCCCTTAGGCCATAAAATGACTCCGTCACTGAATTGATTTCATACTGTCCAAAATATAAACTTTCTTCATTTTTTAGACAAAAAAAATGATAACATGTTGAAACAAAGTAAAATAAAATTAAAAATTTTGGGAAGAAAAATAAAATAAATTTCAATCAAATTTTTAAGGGGCGTTAATCATATGGCAATGTAAAACTAATAACTATAATTAAAGGTGTAATGAGAAACATGATAATTATTGGGGAAAAATGACACAAATCTCATAACTTGAGGGCAAAAAAGTGTAATTAACCCATAAATTGTTACATGTTTCCTCGAGCACGTGATGTTCCACCGCTCCACAAAAATTAGGGTTTTCCCAAAGCCTTGCGCAGCCTCCTCCAAAATTAGGGTTTTCCTAAGCAGTACGCCGCTGGTACTGCTATATAAATCCAAGGCTACCATCGGCTTCGTTCTTCATCTTCCAGCTACCAATTTTCTTTCCTCGTAAGCTTCACTCCTAACACAACTTCTGTATCCGTNTAAGCAGTACGCCGCTGGTACTGCTATATAAATCCAAGGCTACCATCGGCTTCGTTCTTCATCTTTCAGCTACCAATTTTCTTTCCTCGTAAGCTTCACTCCTAACACAACTTCTGTATCCGTATAGGGTTTTCTTCGATTCTCGTCTCACAAAATTTGTAGTTGGATTTATTATTTTATCTTTCCTGATCTGCTTGTTTGCTTATGTGTGTTTACATGGGTGTTATAGAATTTACGCGTCGATTANAGTCAACCACGCCATCTTAAAACCTGGTCTTTAGGAAAGCCCCGCAATAGCCTCTTCCATTGCGAAGATGACGCCACCTCCACCAAATTAGCCTTTTTAGTTACTAATAAGCCGCCTCAATCTGTTTAGAGGCGACTATAAAATGTAAGTCCCACCTATACATGGGGGGGCATCTCACATAAGGGATCACATCTAGCATCACTCTCATATCTCTCACATCTTATACCTCACCTAAGCTCTCATTGCTCTCACCTGGTCTCCTTACACTCTTACAACAATAAAACACCCAGACCATCTTAACTTTTTATAGTGGAGTAGGTCACCTTGACCGAACCACTTAAATTGTGTGTTGCTTGTGTTGAGTTTTCGCTTTCNGGTCAACCACGCCATCTTAAAACCTGGTCTTTAGGAAAGCCCCGCAATAGCCTCTTCCATTGCGAAGATGACACCACCTCCACCAAATTAGCCTTTTTAGTTACTAATAAGCCGCCTCAATCTGTTTAAAGGCGACTATAAAATGTAAGTCCCACCTATACATGGGGGGCATCTCACATAAGGGATTACATCTAGCATCACTCTCATATCTCTCACATCTTATACCTCACCTAAGCTCTCATTGCTCTCACCTGGTCTCCTTACACTCTTACAACAATAAAACACCCAGACCATCTTAACTTTTTATAGTGGAGTAGGTCACCTTGACCGAACCACTTAAATTGTGTGTTGCTTGTGTTGAGTTTTCGCTTTCTATTCTATTATCTGCATTAATTACTTGACAGGTAATGTGTAAAACCAATTTATGCCTTATCACTTTCAATTGCTTAATTTCTCACATTATCCTTAAATTGTTTGATTATTTTTTTTTGGTAAAAAAAAAAAAAGAGTTTGAGGGGCAATTGGGGTGAAACCCCTACCTAGGCATGACCATAATAGCCTGAACCCAAGAGAAAAGTCCACTAGTGAGGCTTAGACAATGGGAAATTGCTAGTGCTATCGAAGGTCGACTCGAGCTATAGCTTAACCTCCGCACCACAGAGTTGCCAATGAGACAACGGGAGTTCCCGAAAATGGAACGCTACTTGTTAACCTCATGGGAGTGAGAGAGAACCCTAAATAGGGCATTGCAAGCCATTGAATCACCTATCCGCTAATAGAGGCAGAGCCAATATTTCCTCTTGAGGGGGACCAAATAGTGGTATAATAAGATATTTTTATTCAATGTGAATCATTCAATTAGATCGTTAATGTTTTGATATTTACATGCATAAAATATATAAGAATCAATCTCACACAATGTAATATAATTATTATTTTCAATAAAATGAATATAGTTAACCGAAACTAATTGAATTATTAGATATAAAAGTCAAATAAATTGTACCATTAATAATTCAAAATAGTCTAAAATATACAAATTTTTACAATATCAAAATTTAACAATTTATGCAAATTGTCACAATTTTAATAGTTAATGGTTCAACGTGGTCTAATCAATAGTTAAGAGGATAAAATAAAATCAGGACTATAATTTAATGTATAAATTATAATTTCAAGAATTTGAATGGTGTATAAAACGTGATCAAAACATAATTTTAAATGAATAATATACAATTTTAAAAAATTGAGCAGGGTCATAACCCCCTTAGGCCATAAAATGACTCCGTCACTGAATTGATTTCATACTGTCCAAAATATAAACTTTCTTCATTTTTTAGACAAAAAAAATGATAACATGTTGAAACAAAGTAAAATAAAATTAAAAAGTTTGGGAAGCAAAATAAAATAAATTTCAATCAAATTTTTAAGGGGCGTTAATCATATGGCAATGTAAAACTAATAACTATAATTAAAGGTGTAATGAGAAACATGATAATTATTGGGGAAAAATGACACAAATCTCATAACTTGAGGGCAAAAAAGTGTAATTAACCCATAAATTGTTACATGTTTCCTCGAGCACGTGATGTTCCACCGCTCCACAAAAATTAGGGTTTTCCCAAAGCCTTGCGCAGCCTCCTCCAAAATTAGGGTTTTCCTAAGCAGTACGCCGCTGGTACTGCTATATAAATCCAAGGCTACCATCGGCTTCGTTCTTCATCTTCCAGCTACCAATTTTCTTTCCTCGTAAGCTTCACTCCTAACACAACTTCTGTATCCGTATAGGGTTTTCTTCGATTCTCGTCTCACAAAATTTGTAGTTGGATTTATTATTTTATCTTTCCTGATCTGCTTGTTTGCTTATGTGTGTTTACATGGGTGTTATAGAATTTACGCGTCGATTACTGATTACCAGCGCTCTGTGTTTAACAAAAATGGGCGATGCGTATGAGACGGCGCAATATCTGTTATTCCATTTCTACTTAAATCCAAAAACCTCTCAATTAGTTGAGTGTCTTTGTGTCAGATCCGGAAAATATTCGATTTTTGTTTTTCTCAAAATCATTATATTCATTTTTTTTTGTAATATTCAAATAATTATTTGATGTGAGGGAAGAGATGGAAGTGATGAGTTTTTCCCCAGATGATCGACTCTGAAATAACTGAGCGCTCTTTTAAGTTTTTTTCTCTTCTTTGAGAAAAATCCAAGCCAGAACTCTGATCCTTCTCTACACCCACTTATCTGTTTTGTATGTGTGTATTTTTTTTTAGAAGAATTGTTGTTGTGATTTACAAAATCATGCTTCTTGTGGTAACGTTTTACCCTGCTCAAAGTACCAAAAAGTATTATCCTGGGCTGAGATATAAAATGCATTTTATTATATTTTTCTGGGTTTTCCAGCTATAGTTATATTAAATTTGAGCTTTGGTGATTGAATTTTAAAAAATGAGAATGGTAGAGATGGATGTGATGATTTTTTCCCCAGATGATCGACTCTGATTATACTGAGCTACTATTCTTTCTCTCTTTTCGAGAGAATCCAAGCCAATAATCTGATCCATCTTCAGACATGAATCATTGTTTGTTTTATATTTGTGTCATCCTAGGCCAACAAACTTTGAGATTCTATTAGTGATCTATATTAAAAATGAATTATCCATCTATTTGGCATGGGTTCAGCACCATTTTAGGCAGTGACAATTCTGTGACATTTTATATGTTGTGCCTTTCAAATGATTTTGCATTTTTGCAGTGGAAAGGTTTCAAATTTGCTGGATTATATGCACATTGAATTATATTTGCTCCTTTGGGAATGTTTTTAAAGGCATGACACATCTATCTTTTATATAATTATATATTGTGGGATTTCTGTATTGAGATCCATGCATGATGTGTTGACTTAAACTGTTTGACATGTTGTACCATGTATTTGGTTGTATAAGATGATTTGTTATTTGTTACTTATTACAGAAAGATGTGTTTATGTTGTTGGGTGATTTTACTGCATCAAGTTAGTGTTCTGCTCTTTTACTGATTCAGGGGAACTTTGAGACTATGAGAACCAATAATAATATTTCGAAATAATTTGTTGAATTTANGTTTTACTGCATCAAGTTAGTGTTCTGCTCTTTACTGATTCAGAGGAACTTTGAGACTATGAGAACCAATAATAATATTTCGAAATAATTTGTTGAATTTATTAGCATACTTGTTTTATTTTTTGCCCTTGGATTGTCTGAGGGTCCTAATGAATATGAGTTTCATTGCTAATTCAATGTTTGTAAATGATTAGGTTGAAAAAATTAGGTCGACAGATACGTCAGAGTTGCTTACTGTAAAAGGAGCAATTCTATTGTGACTTCGTTTGGAGACCTAATGTATATGCCTATTTCGTATTGTATCAACAATTTGATATTTAATTTCCAATACCCAACTTAGATCTGAGATTTTTGCCATTTAGAATTTGTAGTAACCTTTTACTCATGTTTTACTGTGGGTATGGCATATGAATTCATGCTTATGGTAAAATTTAACAATGTACCTAAAAGGATTATCTTGGACTGAGAAATAAATCACATTTTATNTGACAGATACGTCAGAGTTGCTTACTGTAAAAGGTGTGACTTCGTTTGGAGACCTAATGTATATGCCTATTTCGCATTGTATCAACAATTTGATATTTAATTTCCAATACCCGACTTAGATTTGAGGTTTTTGCCATTTAGAATTTGTAGTAACCTTTTACTCATGTTTTACTGTGGGTATGGCATATGAATTCATGCTTATGGTACAATTTAACAATGTACCTAAAAGGATTATCTTGGACTGAGAAATAAATCACATTTTATGAAATATTTCTGGGTTTTGCCAACTGTGGTTATATTAAGTTTAGCTTGGGACATTGATGTTAAAAAATGAGAATTGTATTGATGGATGTGATGATTTTTTCCCCAGATGATCGACTCTGATTATACTGAGCGACTATTCTTTCTCTCTTTTGGAGAGAATCCAAGCCAGAATCTGATCCATTTATGACATTAATCAATCATTAAACATTTACCCACAGTAATAAGTGCTAACCATATTTGACATTTATATGTGCTTTCAGGTATCAAAGTTTTTGTTTCAAATGATTAGGTATCCACCCTGTGTCTGTGGTTCATGCTTTTACAGTTTCCATTAAGCATCCTACTCGTTTCTGGACTTATTTGTTGATTTACTTTACTGAAGTAATACATTGTTGCTATTGGGCTTGTACCAACTAATACCATGTTTGATCATGGTTAGGTTTTGTCA